TTTGAAAGGCTGTGTGTGATTGGGTAAAAGCTGAGAGGAAATGGGAGAGGCTGGAGCTGCGCTGTGCTGACAGAGGTAAGGGGGAACTGAAACCAATTGCATCATTGGGTAGTTTTATAGTGAGTGGCTGAGTCAGAGCCAAGGAACCTGAGTTTGGGAGCCAGGACTTGACCAGAGTTGAAGGATACACAGTCTGTGCAGAAGGTCACCATGGAGGGGAACAAGAAAGGGACAAGGGACAAGGGAATCAGCTGCTTCAGTAGGACAGGCTGCGACAGTAGTAAGTGGATTTGTCTGAGGAGTGTTCAGGAAACCAGTTCTGGGATGCCTTGACATCTGGTATGGGCATTTGGGCATTGTTCACCAAAATAGTGACGCCAGAGAGGATGCTGACTCTTAGCTTACAGGGATATAACTTGGGGCTAGTCTTCAGGGGACTGTCCCCTGGAACATGAGGAACACAAATCTCTCATTAAGGGCAAGTACCATGCTGCTATGAGTCTCTGGGCTGCTGCTGCCTATGTTAGCTATGCACTGTGGCAGCATGAATGGACTGACGTGCCACATTCCCTCAGAGGAATGTGACTTAATGTTCTGAAGAACAAAGAAGTAGCTTTCCTGAGGTACTCTTAGTTTTTGGAGGAAATAAAGGCTCACTCCCTGCTTTCCTTTCAGGTACGCTCCGGAATGTTTAATCCAGTGTAAATTTTATATCGCCTCTGATGTCTGGTCTTTTGGAGTGACACTGCACGAGCTGCTCACTTATTGTGACTCAGATTTTAGTCCCATGGCCGTAAGTATTAACTGCTACCTCTTAAATGGAGTCTGGTCAGCATGCTGCTTGGCAAGGTCTGGCAAAGTTTGCCTTCACAAGTACAGAATTCAGTAAGATGACCCAAGTTTTTAGGGTGAGGGCCATCTTAAGAGAGGATGGTGAACTTTGAGCAGTGGGTAGGGGCTTTGTTTTCTTATAACTGACAGCTGTGGTTGGTCCCCTCAGATGTTGCTTTTATGGACTAATCCTGAGAGTGTAAATAAGGGTTTTAGACTTTCACTTGAAGTTATAGAAGAGAAAAAGCTTTGTTGCTTTACTTTCTACTTATTTCTGGAAGCTTCACCTTAATTTTGTTCGGTTTTATTTTACATAGTTGTTCCTGAAAATGATAGGCCCAACTCATGGCCAGATGACAGTCACACGGCTTGTGAATACTCTGAAAGAAGGAAAGCGCCTGCCATGTCCACCCAACTGTCCTGATGAGGTAACTGTGTCCCCTTTGTGGGAGGGAAACTTCCTTTTAATGTTTTTATAGCTTGACTTACAGAGCAGAAGACCGTTACACTGCTCGAGAGTTGGCTCTTGGTTAAGAGCACTTGCTACTCTCTGAGGTCCTAGGTTCAGTTTACAGCATCCACACTGGGTAAGCCATGGGAGAAATCCCCCTGTGGTGATAACACTGATGCTCAGGCAAGGCTCCTCTTGGAGCTGTGGCCTCCGTCCTGCGCATATCTGCCTTCGCAGAAGGGCACATGATGAGGTCTCACCACTGCATCCCATTCACTAGCATTTTCAGACTTCTAGATTCTAAACTGGCTCAAGCCTTTCCACACTAGACTCTAGATGTTCAGAACTGTGGTCAGAGGGAGATGCCATGGTGGTGAAGCGGGTAGGCACACTGGTAACTTTCCTGCTTCTCTCACCGGGTCCCAGTAGTGACCTGGATTCTGTTGAAAGTTAACCTGTGAGAAACAAATGTTAATGCCATTTATGAACTATTATTTTCTGTATTTTAAGTTATTCAAATACTCAGTTCTTCAGTCATATTAAGGAAAGATAGTTTCCAACTTATTTTCGATAATTTTGTGGTTTTGAATGTGTGGATGCCAGAGATTGATGTCGTGTGTCTCCTTGGTTGCTCTGGTTTGGTTTACTGAGGCAGGTTCTCCCTGAAGTTAGTTCTCCTGATTGTGCTAGTCTGGCCAGTCTGCCTTACAGCTGCTGCATGTGCCTGGCCTTTTAAAATGTGTGTCATGGCTCTGAACTTCAATTACACTTATGGAGCAAGTACTGCATCCACCGAGCCAACTTTCCAGCCTCCTATTATTTTTTAGAATCTCACAAATCTGACATTATTCATACTGTTCTTGCCTTTATTTTTTCATAGGTTTATCAGCTTATGAGAAAATGCTGGGAATTCCAACCATCTAATCGGACAACCTTTCAGAACCTTATTGAAGGATTTGAAGCACTTTTAAAATAAGAAGCATGAAACAACATTTAAATTCCCATTTATCAAGTCCTTCTCTCCTAAGCCATTTAAAAACATTTTTTAAGTGAAAAAGTTTGTATTCTGCCTCTAAAGTTGCTCAACAAATACTCAAGTTACATATACATGCCTATGTCACACTGGCACTCAGCGTGTGAAGCTTTCTTTAAAGGTGTAACATCTTAAACTTAGTGATGAATAATGACAACCAAAATACTAGAATGTGCCTAAGCACTCCTTTTGGAACAGCCGAATGATCAGTTGCATAGCAAAGGACGTGTGGCGCTGTGCTGCTGGCACACTGATCTTCCATACACACTTGTGGGCTTGGCTGAAACCCTCCCTTGCCCTGAAATCCCAATGTCTATGCAGTGATAGTACAAGCAAGTAGATACCACTTAGTATACTATTGTTTCAATTTTAAAAAAAAGTCTATTCCTGCTACCTAGTAGGACTGCAGTTCTAAGCTGTTTGTGCAGTGGCACAGCCGCTGTTCTCTTGGCTAAGCACAGGTACCCACTGTAGGACAAACTTGTGCAGCAGGACGGAGCCTGGCATATACACTCTGCATGTTACTTCTTGAGAACTAGACCTGTGTTTCCTGCACAGCCTGCTTTCCATCAGACAGACTCTGCTGACTGGATGCTGTCACATCTGCCTTTAAGAATGTCAGTGTATACTCCTTCCTAACGATCCCCTGGGGGCAAGCCGCCAACCGTATTGCAAACAGGAGACATCACCCTATACTGCAAAACTACAAAAAGGAAGACCCAGCTTGGCCTACCGGACTGAAGTTCAGAATTCACTACTACATAGTTTTCGGTTGACTTGGAGGTAGCTAGGTAATCAACAATGTTCAGTTTATAATTCAGTGTGAACCACAAAGTTATTCATGACCAAGAGTCTGGCAAACATATTAATGCTGTTTAATATTGTTTGATATTTTTTCACCTTTTGAGCCCCACTCACAAAGAATTCAAGATCAGTTTAGTAGCAACAGTACAGTTGCCATTTAAATTTGTTTAGTTGCTGTACATTACCATAGTCCCTGTTTACGTCAAACCTGTGGCCCGCTCTATATGCACTTTGTTTACTCTTTATACAATAAACATACTAAAGACTTCACATGCATATGCCTTTTAATGTTAAGCTTGTATCTTGAAAAGCATTTCAAACCATTAGCTAACACAGAAAAATAACAGCATAGACTTCTGGGGGTTGTGTTGTAATGACTTTGTACTAACATCACTTGATTTGCACTTCTGTCTCGTAATAATGGACACAGGCTGGCATGGTGGAGGACCCACATGTAATGCAAAGTGTCTCCAAGTTCTCTCCACTGCTTCCTGCTCACTCTGCAGCTCCCAGTCACTAGCCTCCTGTTGTTCTGTCTGCATGAAGCAAAAATGTGACTCATTGCTGCAGAGGCTGAGAGCTGCAGCAAAGGGACAGGGTAAAGAGACGCCATTACTCATCTGCTGGGGCCTCGTCCTGCTCAGTCACTTTTAGCAAGAATGCCTAGGATTGTCTTAGTTTAAGTTTTTAGCTGTCATTTTTCAATGAAAGCCAGTATATGCAATAAATTAGGCCAGATAACATTCTTTATAAACCATATAGCATACGTACTAGATTTAGACTTTCTAATTAATGCTGGAGAGCTATATCAGTTAAAAATGATAACTCCTCCAAATAAGGTATTTTAATGACCTGATCCTGTAAACTAGGATCACTGAGATTCCCAAACTTCATCGGTTACAGTCTTTGAACAATGAACAAATAGAAATTTCTAGATGGAAAAAGGTTTCTCACTTAATACCAAGATCTTCAGCAAATGGTAAGGTCAAAAGTCACATTAATAAAGACAAACGTTCTTTCAGAAGTGAATTGGATTAAATGGCCATTACCTTTCAGCTTAACAACTACCAAAGAATGAGTAATAAACCAGAGTGAGGTAGAGCCTGTTAGCTCAGAACTCCTGCACGCTGTCCACAGCCTCCCTGAGGAACGGCTGTGTGGACTGCTCTGCCGGGGCTCAGCCGTGTCTCCTGACGAGACCTTCACTGCTGTATGCCATGAAAAACAGCAGAGAAACCTTGGCTCCTTGCCATGTACATGTCTTGTGTAAGATAGAAGGAGTCGGGAGACAGGCTAGCAAATCTTACATACAAAGGACCAGACAGTAAATGTCCCTGCCTCTGCAGACTCTGTGGTTCTCTCTTGAGGCTACTCAGTTCCCATTGTGACACAAAAGTAACTACATAATGTGTAAATGAGCAAGCCTCACTGTGTTCCAGTCATCATCTTGGGGACTCTGAAACTGCAGTTTCATGTTGTAATTTGTCTCCTACCCCCAGATGTTTAGAAATGCCCTCTCTGATTCACAGGCAGCACAAAGCTAGGTGGTGGACTACATGTGGCCCCAGTGTGTACTGTGCTAACCCTTGTATTATGTACAAAAGTTACTTTTCCTGAAATACTTGCTTTTCCACAAAAGGTATATATGGTAAATGATACCTCGGAAGTGAAGCATCTGGAGTGACATCACTGTCACTCTGCCACTGGGTTGGTCTTGTGTGGCTTTGTGGAGCTAATGGAGTCTGCGTGGTGAGTGTTTGTCACCATTGGGTGGTGCCACCACCCTTGCAGTTTGAGGAAAGACTACAGATTAGACTATTCTTAGGGGAGAGTAAGGTAAATGCACATTGGCTTATAAGAAATTCATTCTAAGGCTAAGGAAACAAAACAGTTTCCCATTTATTGCTTCAGACTTTATAGAGGATGTCAAAATTGTTCCCAGGCCCGAAACAAGGACTATTGGAATGCTGATTCTCCAGTGAGCAGAGTCATTATCACATGGATTAAGACACATCTAATGCTAGTGGAAAATGTCCTCGACCAGTGATGTTTCTTATTGCTAGTTGGATATTTGGCTGATCTGCCTGCTGTGTGACAGTTCCTTCTGGGAAGTCAGACACCCGTATTGAAAGGATATGGCTAGTGTGAATGAAGTTAAGGCAGAGATGAGCAGCAGGCGCTGCGGTGGGCCGCAGCAGGTGGACAGGAGACGCCGAGCTTAGTACACACGCTTCTTTTTTAAGTAGGTTTCTGTGTAGCTCACTCCCGTGTCCTGAGGGTGCTGGCCAGCAAGTTCTACTGAGCCTCCTTCTGGGGAAGAGGTGAGATAGGAGGAGCCTCGCTTCTCATTCCTCAAGGAGGACACCTGTGAGAAAGTCAGTAACGATGTCTGTGAGAAAAGCCTGCTATCCTGAGTTGGTGTAAGTACAGAATCACAGAATACCAAAACTGTGAAGAAATGGAAAACCATCGTTGTCACAGGAATTAAGACTTTCAAATCTCTGTAGAAGTCACCTCTGGAGAGCCGGTTCAGTTGAAGAGCAACCTTCTGGCATGCAGGAGGCCCTGTGCTGTGTCCCAGCACCTTGGTCAGTCTCCTCTAGAACATTCACAAACTACAAACTGGACCTCTGAGTCCTCACCTCAATTCTGGGATGTGGGAGGAGGAAACTGGTCCTGTTCACACCCAAGTCAGAAGAGCAATGCCAAGCGTGTTTCTGATGGAGGAGGCAGGCTAACAAGTAGGCCCAAGTGAGGAATCGTGTTAAGTCTGCCTAGCAACCGGGTGCAAGAGCTTGTTGAGTGGTGTCAGGGAAATGATAGCACTATCAAGAATAATGGGAATCTCAACACTTTGGGACCCAAATAATGAGATCTCCAGGCTCCCTTCCTGAGTCTGCAGCCTAAGGTTTCCTGAACAGGCCATAGTAAGTGGGACAATGACATCGTACAGCATAGCCTGTGACCTTTCCCTACAAGTAAGTGTGAGGTGCTTGCTGAGGCTGTTATATAACCCAGATACAGTGTGAGAACTGCTGACAGTCAGCTTTCCAACACTGGCGAGTTCTCACATACAGTGTCTTTGAGTCCACAACTGTCACTTTTAAAACCTTAAAAATGGCTGCGTCATAGGGTCAGCCTTTGTCCCTCCATCATCCTGTCATCCTGCCAAGAGACATGAGAGTTCATGGGTTACTCAGTGGCATAGCCCTTGGTTGCACTGGGTTTCAAAAAACCTAAGACCCTCCCTCAGCTGGTCCTCTTGGTCTAAGGCAGTGGTCCTCAACCCCTGGGTCAGAAATCCTGCATATCAGATACTTATATTACAGTTCATAACAGTAGCAAACTCATAGTTAGGAAATAGTAACAAAATTTTATGGTTGCAGGTTACCAGAACATGAAGAGCTGTATTAAAGAGTCATAGCATTAAGAAGGGTGAGAACCACTGCCCTAAGGGATTATTATTCACAGAGCTGAACTACTGACTATCATTGGCTTGGAAACCGTGGAGGTGGGGGCAGGGAGGAACACAGATGAAACTAGTCTGGCCTTCAGTTGACACTTGCCAAAGCAAGCAGCTGTTCCCTGGCTGACTCCCACTGCTGGGCCCCGGCATCTCTCCCAGCACCTTCATTTAAAAGATCCTTCCTGGCTGTTCCACCTTAGCCACTAAAACAGCGAACCATCAGCCCATCCTGTAAATGAGATTTTCCCAAACATGAGGGGTGTCTTAGGGTTTTACTTCTGTGAGAAGACACCATGACCAAGGCAGTTCTTATAAAGGACAACATTTAGTTGGGGTTGACTTAATAGGTTCAGAGGTTCAGTCCATTATCATCAAGGTTGGAGTATGTCAGCATCCAGGCAGACATGAGACTGCTGGAGCTGGGAGTGCTACATCTTCATTCAAGGCAGACAAGAGAAGACTATCTCCCACGGGGCTAGGAGGGTCTCAAAGCCCATCCCCACAGTGACACACTTCCTCCAACAAGAACACACCTACTCCAACAAGGCCACACCTCCTAGTAGTGCAACTCCCTGGGCCAAGCATATTCAAATCACCACAAGGAGCAAGATGCAAACACCTTTTACAGTGGACAGAACTCCCCTGTACCTCTCTCTCCATGCTGTATGGTAATCCGAGTTTCATCCTTTTCTTAAAGCAAGAGCCTGAACTGTTCCCTTCTAGATCATCTTTATTTTCCCAAACCGGGGAGACACTGGGTGTTTTCATTCAAATGGTTCTAGGTCATCCAGAGCCAACCAACAGAGATGGAAGGGGCGAGCATGAATGTCAGAGTTGCACAGACCATTAGCAAGAATGGGAAATGCCATTGTGGTTCATAAAGCAGTGGGAGAAGGCTAATTCTGATACAGTCCATCAAAGATGGCCAGCTTTGTAGGGATTGGTGAATGGGGAACAGTGGTAGTTGGGGTTTTTGAAGCAAACATCATGTTCTGAGAAAAACAAACTTGTAACTAAAAATGGCCACAAAGAGGAAAAAGGCATAAGGAGCAACTTCCTGTCGTCTGTCAAGATGTGTAGGCTCCTATCCCTTCACGCCCTTCCCCATGAGGTCTCAGGCCCGAGGCTTTACCTACAGTGAGATGTGCACTTAGCTTTCCCTAAACCCATATCTGAGGGCTTTCCTCAAACACTGGAGAGGAGTCCATTGGAAAAGGCACTTGACATCTAGAGTCATGACCTGGGTTCTAGCTCTGGGGGCCACACAGTCCTCTGCCCTCCACAAGAAGGCTAGGACATGTGCCCTTCCATGTCTGCGCACAAAATAAGTATTTTTAAAAATTTCAAATGCACTTTTAAAAAGAGTTCATTCTGGCCCGATGATGTACCCAGCTGCAGGTTTGGGAGCCAGTAGCTCATCCTGAAGATGCAGCACACCCAAACACCGTTCTAGGACAGCAGGGAATTTAGAGTGTGGTGGCAGATACCTTCAGTCCCAGCACTGTAAGGATGCCAGCTTTCAGGAGGCAGAGAGAAATGTCTGAATTTATGGCCAGCCAGAGTACATGGTAAGATCATGTCACAACAAAACAAAACACTGAAAATTGTAGGCTGGAAAGATGGCTCCATGGGTAAGAAAACACTTGTTGCTCTTGCAGAGGACCAGGTTCAGGTCCCAGCAACCACACTAGTGAGCTCACCGTCATCTCTATGCCCAGATTCAAGGATCTGACACCCTTTTCTGGGCTCCACAGTCAGCTGCATCCATGCAGTATAAACACAAGCAGTCTCTGTCTCCCTGTCTGTGTCTCTCCCTGTCTGTGTTTCTGTCTGTCTCTCTGTCTCTGTCTCTGTCTCTCTTGTGTCTGTCTCTGTCTCTCTGTCTGTGTCTCTGTCTCTCTGTCTCTTTGTCTCTGTCTGTCTCTCACACATAAAGTATAACCTGCACTCCTCAGGATGAGGTAAAACTGCCTATCATGATTCTTCCCAGGTTTCTGATCTTTGGAATCACAATGTAAGGCTGAGGCTTCCTGAGTGCTGTAGTTATGACATCACAAACTTTCCACACCAACCTCCCATAGGGGAGCCCAGCATCTTCACTCAGCTAGTCAACTCTCTCACCACGAGGATGAAAAATCCAGAGTTAGTGATGACTGTTGGACTCCTGATCCTCATTTCTTGGGGATCTCAACCAACCACATAATTTGTGACAACATTCTCCCCCACATCCAGACTCGTGATGACCAATAGACAGTGAACATTATCCTGGACCAGCCAGGCAAACTAAATCTTCTCCCAGCTCCCCAAAACCCTTCCCACCCACATTCCTACCCATCTCAGACGGTGACAATTCCATTTTTCCAGATCCCAAACCTTGGGCCATTCAAGGTACTCTCCTGCCCCCAGCAGACTGTTTTCTTGATCACTGCTCCCATCCACCACCATCTCTGGTCAGCCAAGGTCCTCTCAGCATCATCTCTCTCTGCTCTGCAGCTGCTTCCTCACTGGGCTTGCTATGTTCTTCAGTCACAGCTGAGAATAAAATCCTAAGTACACACAAGGGCCTCTCGCCCTCCCTTTGCTCCTTTAACATGGTATGCAAGTTTGCCTCACGCATCTCTGCATTTGCTGTTCCTACTTGGAGGACTGTATAACACAGACAGCTGTGCATTTATAGACTCATACGTGCCCGGAAACTCACCTGTCAAGTCATTGTGTCACATTTTTTAAAAATGAAAATCACCCTGAAAGTCTCAATGGCCACAAGCTGTGTATGTTAAACACCTTAAGTTCATTTAATGGTACAAATGGAGTGTCCAGTGTCACACAACATGTGCTTTTGCACTATTTGCCCACTAGGTGGCAGCATTAGGCTCTCTAAGGAGAGACCCAGACTCAAGGCTTTTTAGCTCATTTTTGGGTTTGTGCCCACCTCAACTCATCACACATTCTGTAGCTGATTCCTTGGGTTTGGCGGCCAGCTTCCCAGTAGGAAAGATCCCTGTAACTAGGGAAACACAAGACTACAGCTTGGCAGTGCAAAGACTCTTGCTAGAGAGCCAGGCGGCTGCCCCAAGCCAAGTGTGGAAAGAAAAACCCAAGTCCCGGTTTAATGGTCACAGAAACCAGTGAAGGAATTCCTAAATTATCCTTCATATTACTGAAACTAATGATTATGTCATGCTGAAAAGTCCTTGATAAGGGTTGGTCTTTTTTCTACTTTAATAAAAGGGAGCAGGAAGGAATATTCTATTGTTTTGTTAGACTGTAGTTAGAGGTTATACTCAGGTACTAAATAAATATTTAATAAGCTGGCTCCTAGGGTCCTGTAACATGGACTTCTAACAGCCACCTGATGCAGACGAATCTGCTCAACTTTACCTCAAAATCTGAAATTTCAAACTGTATATATCCAAATTCAGAAGATCTTTCCGATTATAATGCTATTAGACTTTAAAATAACTCTATTTGTTTCTGGCTTCATTATTCATAGTCCACTTCAAATATTTAGGACATGTAGTTCTGGGAAAAATCAGCAACATCTCAGCAGTGAGTACAGTAACTATAACCAGGGAAATGGGGCATGCGGGGAGTGGGGGACACCTTCTTAAGACTGGCTTCTAAGAATCTATAGATTAGAAAACACCAGTTTAACGTGGTTACTGGTACATACTTTGAAACTTCAGAAACACTAAATATGCTTCCTCAATTTAGTATAGTTAAGGTTTGTTTCTAATATATTATAGTTCAGGGGCTGGCAGGATGGCTCAACAGTTAAAAGCCTGTACGCTGCTCTTACAGTGAATAGAAGTTCAGTTCCAAGCACCCATACTGGTCAGCTCCAGATCCGCCACACCCTCTGGCCTCTGCAGGCACCTGTTCATGTGCACACACTCTGA